AGACCTAGGAGGAAGGAGACTGGGAACAAAGGTATAGGATTCAGCTCCTAAGCCTCCTCACCTTCTCAGAGCCTGAGTCTGAGAATTCAGCAAAGATGCTCAGATTCCACCCCTATGTCCTGTCAGACTATTTGGAAGATGAAGTTAAGATGTTTAGGAGTTCAAGGTCATCCTTGATTAGTGAGGTACAAATCAGCCCATGAACATGAGACCTGTCTGAGAAAGAAAGGGAATGGGATGAGAGGGAGGAGGAGGGGGAGAGGAAGAAGAGGAGAGGAGAGGAGAGGAGAGGAGAGGAGAGGAGAGGAGAGGAGAGGAGAAAAGAGGAGAGGGGAATCTGGAAATGAAAAATGCTACACCCATCTCAGTAAAGAGAACTTGGGCAGCTGTGTATGGAACTTTTCAATGAATTTTTTTATTTCTCCCCTACACACACACACACACACACCACCTTTGGAAAGGAGGTTGATCTGCACTTCTGGTCTTTGCAAGCGAGACTCACCCACTCATGACCCAGTTGTAGGTCCTTGGGTCCATCTTACTGGCTAGGAACAGAGCATGGCCCCACAAGTGGTTCTTCATAGCCCATTCCAAGGCCTCCTGAAAAGCAAAGAATGGCAAACAATAGTACCTTGCTCATCTCCATCCAATAAAAACAACAAATTTCCATGCGTAGGCAGATCTGTACTCCAAGCAATAGAAATCCCAGGGAAATGTAGAAAATGAAGAAGGAAGAAGGGGAGTGCGGGCTTCGCTCAGCATGGTGTTACTCTCCCCTTCAGCCATCATCCATTAGGACATGGCATCAGCTCCTCTTCAAACATGGTCCCAGGCAGTCTCATCTTTTTAGTATCAGCTACAAAATACTTCTAAAACCCTAACTGCCAAAACCGAGGGAAAGAGTTCATTCCAAAGACTGAGTCTCAAAATATGAGTAACAAAAATGTATTGTTGTGGCCCTATTAAAGAAGAGTGTCCTTTTTAAACGCTGTGGGAGAGGGGACATCTTCCTTCCTAGGCACAAAGCTGGACATTCCCCACCTCATTGCCTCCTGCGTGAGGCTGAGCCTGAGCCACGGCACGAGAATAACAGCGCCACTTCTAGGCTGGGCCCAATAAAGTCATCCACACTCATTCCTACTATGCCTCACCCCATCAGGTAGCTGCAAGGAAAAGGACTCCTGGAGAACCTTGGAAATTCTAAGCTGACAATGGTGAGGACCGCTGCATCCTGAGTCTGACATTGTGGAGGAGGGTTAACCAACTGGCTGCTGTGCCTAAGCTCATGGGAGCTAGCCCATAAGCCCAATGCAGAGAGTGCTAACTCTCAGATGCTGTCTCAGGATGCATTGGTAGCGCCATCAAGTAAGAGGGATAAAGCTGCAAACTTTAAAACACACATACATATGTGCCTTTTTGATTCAGTTTATAGCTGAGGTTTTGAGCTGGTATTAATAACTTCCTTGGTAGGAAAAAATGCATGATTTCTGGCAGGAGGTCACTAAAGAGATAATGCTGCTTCCATGTAACAAGTATCTTTATTATCCCAGCATATCTCCATGTAATCTTATTGAATAGAGAGGGCAAATTTAATCATCACAATTAAGGAATTTAGCCTCAGGTCCAGAACAAGTGAAGAAAATGGCATTAGGACAACCTTTTTTTAAAGCATACTTTAACTATTTCATAATTCTTTTTAATTTGTTTTTTTTTTAAGTGACCAATGGGTTGGTTGAGAATTATTAGCTGACTCAAAATTCTGCCCACTCCAAAAATAAATTTTATAAGTAAAGAACTTGAGAATTTATATCAAGGCTGTCAAGAATATTAAATTCCAGAAATGATACCTGAGTCAAATATGAATGAAGGTATCTTGATACCCACTCCTCATTCATCATCCTGTAGACACCCCCACTGCTCCATCTATCACTCAGTGTGGTAAGGTACCCAGATGCCCATGTTCAGGCTCACGCTACCCAGATCCAAGTCCCACATCTAAATCTAACTGCCCAACCTGTAAATCAGCAAAACAAAACCAGACCCTACCACACAGGTTTCTATGGAGATAAATCAGATCACACATAAAAGATATTGAGTTAGTGCCTGATGGGTAAAAAATAATTTTTAAGCTCTGTTTTGTTATTGTTGTTATTATAGATATTGTTCATCTTTCTTGAAGGAAAAGTTCAGAACTGATTTATCTCTGTATGCCTCACTGGGCAAGAAATAGTACTGCAGATGAGTTTTCTGTTTTGCTTTGTTTTAATAGAATAAATGGATCACTGAGAAAAGCACAATTCCCTGCTAGATAATGGATGTATAGAAAATGGCTGTAATTTGATACTACTTGTTTTTATAAGTTATTATGTTAAGTGCCCCCATAAAAGAAAACATCATGTTTAAAAACTCAATAGATAAAATATTAAAATTTCAAAGTAGGGGCCGGAGATACGGCACAGCAGTTAAGAGCACTTGATGCTCTTGCAGAGGACCCAAGTTCAAATCCCAACACTCATGTAATGGCACACAGCCACCTGTAACTCCAGTTCCAGGGACCTGACACCCTTTTCTGGCCTTCCTAGGCACCAGGCATGCCCATGGTGCACAGATGTACATGCAGGCACTCACACATACAATAAAAATGAATAAATCTTTTAAAATGCTGAAGTCACAAAACTAACTCAACTTTGTTTCTATTAATTAATTTGAAAATGGGGGGAAACCAACTAAATATGACACACATCCAAAAAAAATTTTTCAGTTTAGAACTGAACATCTTAAAGATCTGAAGAGCACACACAATTCAGCACGCACTGATAAAAGATGCTCTACAGGAAAAGGTGGGAAGCCTGTGACAAGTTCATCACAGGGGAAAAGCTAATTTCATTTATAATAACAGAAGTGTAAATATATACACTGAATTGTATTTTTCCACCTTTAGGACAGGCATAGACCACAAGTGTGCAGGCTTTGATGAGGATACAAAGCAATGGTTTCACTTTTTGTTCACAGAGCTAATGATACATCCTAAGAGGCAATTTTTCAATAGCTATCAAAATTATAAACCATGTACCCTTTGACCCAACACCTCTGCTGCTAGAAATTGATCTTACATATGTTCTCTCATAGTAGACAAAAATGACAGTGATGTCCTAGCTTGAATATGAAGTGTACCCCACCAAAGGCCCATGGGCTGAAGGCTTGGTCTCCAGTTATTGGGAGGTAAATGGATCATAAGAGCTCTAATTTCAGATTCACTTCATGACTTGTATAAAACATGACCACAACTCAAAATTAAATAAGCGACCCTCTCCACCCATTATATGAAAGCATTCAGAGTTGATGAGAATGCCTGAGATCCAGTGGCAGGGATATCATTCATAAGTAATCTCCCCATAAACTAAGTTGCTATGTTTAAATTATGTGTATGGGAGGGGGACATTCACACGAGTTCAGGTGCCCACTTAGGATAGAGGTGTTGAGTTACCATGGAACTGGAACTATAAATTGTTGTGAGCTGCCCATCGTGAGCACTGGGAACTGAATTCAGGTCCTTTAGAAGACCAGTAAACATGAGCCATCTCTCCAGCCCTAGAATGTTTGTTTGTTTGTTTGTTTGTAAGTACTTGTCAAGAACATACAAGGCACTGAGTTGAATTATTAACACTACAAAAATACTAAAATTGTACTATTCAAACATATTTAATGTCATTAGGATACTTTACCATGTAACATTACATGTAAAAAGAAATAAACAATTACATGTTCCTTTGGGGTTGTTTATCTGTTTCGAGACAGGGTCTCCCTTTATAGTTTAGGCTGGCCTCCTACTCACAGTCTTGCCTACCTCAGCCGGATGAGTGCACCACCATGCCTGGCTTGTCTATATGACTTAAACTGATTTTCAGTGGGGAAACGCTAGGAGTAAATGAATGGAATGTAAACAGATGCTGCCTTCTATCAACAGTAGGACAGATGAACACTGCAGGTGTGAACGGCAAACACCTATGTATTTTTATTTTTCTCACCATAACTTTTTGAATGTCTCCCATGCTCTAAAAAAAGTGTATTCTAGTCATATCATTGGAGGAGGGGGAGATGGGGTAAGGGGTGGTAGTCGCTCGTCCGAAGGAAGTCTGGGAGAAAGGTGTTCTCACCTTCTTCCTTCCATAGTAGAGCAACTTGGTGAATTTTTCCACAATCTGTGCTGGTGTCTCCACACTGGGGGGAATCTCCCCCGTGAGCAGGTTACGAGTCCCAGAGTTCAACACCGGCCAGTCCTCGTCTGTCAGACTGATGAGGTTGGCCACTGGAGGCTGCCTCTTGTACTTCTCCAGCTTCTTGCAGTCTTGCATCAGCAGCTCAGCAACATCAGACCCCACCATGGACTGGAAGGTAAAGAGAGTCATCCTGTGGGGCGATCCTATTCATCCCCAGGCTGCCCCTCCCCTGGGCTGAAGAAGGAAGGCAGCAGGGCCTCTGCCTTCTTCCTGAGACTGTCATGCAAATATGCCATAGACCTTTCATGAATGACTGAATGTCGGACATCACTTCACTACTGCTGGCTGTTACTCTCTGTAGGCAGCAGCAAACCTCCCTGGAACCACTCACAAGTGTATTGTATGGTTGGTGCAATAATCCAGAGTCTGTATAACAAACCCCAGTCAGTGGGAAATTGCTCTCCAGGAAAGGTCAGTATTGGCAAACTGGCAGGGGCATCCCCTCTGAGCAATAGTGCTGCTTAGAGACTGCCTTTTATAATTGTGACATACACCAACTCCCATGAAGACTGGAACTTCAGCTTGGTTTTCCTCTGTCCCCAATATCAAGCAAAGCAGCGACTCACCCCATTCTGTCGACAAAGGAGAACCAGCAGGTGCCAAAGTAGAGCCGAGTCCCTGCTCCCTGGTGTCTCAGATTTGAGACACTGGGCTGCTTTCTTCTGGCAAAACGTCATGATATCCACCTTGTGTATGTCCTCCCTGTGAGGCGATTCAGGAAGCAAGGCCTAAGCTGACTGATTGTCCCTGTTCAGGGGTTCAGGCTCCCTGTACAATGAACTGGTTTATGTGGCGGAAGCCTGACAGCCCAGGACTGGAAGCCTGGGACCACAACATTGTTTTGTTTCCCGACAGAACAGGAAGGAGTTTCAGGGATTCTCTTTGTGAATCTTTCTATCTTTCAGATGAGGACAATGAAACCCGGAGACCTTAAGTGACTTCTCAGAATGGCAGATAAGGACTCTATTTAAAGTCATACAAGACTGGGACCATGTCTGCCCTACCCCCTCTCAGCTAACACAAACATCTCACCCCCTCTGAACCTGTGTCTTCCCCTCCTTAAGACAGGACTAATAAGAGAAACCACCTTCATACAGAAAGGAATAAGCAGACTGTGTGACATAATATGCTACATGTCCACATAAATGCTCATTAAGTGGACAGCATGACATGCTCAGGAACATTCAACAAGCCAGCGCCAAGTGGGGCCAACGTCATACTATTTAATACACAGCTCGGTTCTCTCCATACCTATAAGTAAGATGTGGAGACAGAAGGTAGGGTGTTGTTTGCCACCTCAAGAATGATCCTTGAGGTTGTCCTCTGGCCTCATTTGTGCACACATAAATACACACACATACACACACACACCATAACACTCATTTTGACTTGAAGGAGCCTTCAGTTGTGATATGGGACTTTCTTAGGACCAAGCTTCTAGATAGGATTATGTGTATATAGTAGTGGTGCCATTCAGTGTGGGCTTCCATATGACTAGAGTCTCACAGCCACCACCTTTGGAGTAGGTAAGGTAAGTGCTATATACTTTCTCAAGGGAAAAACTTAGAACTGGTGAACCACCAGTTAGCAGGATACCTGGGGTACTGGCCCCCTGACGCCCACCCACGACTCACAAGTAAAGGCCACTGGTTATCAGAAAAGTGCCTGGAAATGCAAAAGCAGTTCCAGTTCATTCCTGCAGAGGGCAGACGTTCACAGTGTCAGGGAACTGGAAAGCAGGGTTGCAGCTCGCAAAAGCAGTTTCAAGAATGTTTTCCCAGGCTATGCGGTTTCCCCACTAACACCTGTGAAGTACACAGGACACTAAAGCTTCCGGCCAAGTAACCTCTAGAAAATGTTTTTAGATGTCCAACTTATTAAGCCAGCTTTTCTTTCTGCCCTCCAAATATGAAGCGGCTTGTCAAAATTACTTGAGCCACCTCTTTTCTCTTTACTGTCACAGAGAAATCTATTTCAAATAAGATAAATAGTTTCTTCTGTGGAAACCAAGACCCAGGCAGGAAGATGTCCCAGCTTTCAAAGCCTTTATTTAAGAGTTGGGGAAGTTGACTTAGTGGGTAAGAACTGTTGCTGTGAAAGCAAGAGGACATGAGTTCAAATCCCAAGTGCCCACATAAAAGCCAGGTATGGATACATGTGCCTGTAACACCAGAGTTTGGGGAACAGAGATAGGTATTTCCTAGGAGCTCACTGGCCAGACAGCCTAGCCAAAATGGCAAGCTTCAGGTTTGGTGAGATGTCCTGTCTCAAAAAACAAGAGAAAGAAGAAGATGAAAGAGCAAAAGAGGAAAAAATAAATAAATGCCTTTCTCTGACATCTGCATGTGTGTACATGCATACATGCACCTTCATACATGTGTGCATACACCACACACACACACACTCACACACACATACACCACACACACTATGCTCTCCCTTAACAGCTCTTGCCGTACTTTACCTGATGAGGGGTCCTGGGAAACCTCTCATCTCCTCTTGATCCTCAGAATCATTAAGGATAACCTGGACCAGAAAATAAATTAGGTCCCCAAGACCTTTCCACCCTGTACCCAGCAGTCAAATCCAGTATCAGATCCATGGCTATGGTCCGATGGTGTGGCTCAGACACTTGTGGAGGCAGTTACCCTGTTGAAGATGAGCCACGAGCATCTCAGGGAAAATATAAGCCTAGTACCGCTTCTGTCTAAGAAAAGCCCACCCATTCCTGCCACAACAGCCTCCAGGAAAGTGGAGGCCTGAGAAGAGCCACTGGGTTGAGCAGAGTACTTGCACCCCCAACGCCCGACACCCTGATTACCTCCATGCTGTGTACTTCAACCAGGGCTGTTTGTCCATCAGCAGGAGAGTTGGGGGACACCCAAACTAGCTGGCCTCCTGGCCCAAAACTCACAGACACGTGGGGAACATAAAACTTCATGGGTGCCTTGGGAACGGCTGCTGAGGCATCATCTAGCCAAGAGACACATGTGGAAACTCGTTAGGCTTCCTGTCGCTGCTCTTTGGTTAAGAAAGGCATCATGGAAACACTTCTGTTCAAATTCCACCTGGGCCAAGGTGAGACGCTGTGTGGGATACCTGGTTAGAAAAGGTGAGGCTCTAGTCCGATTTAAAACTCTAAGAATATGTCAGATTGCAATGCAAAGATTATTATTTGGTCCAAATGATAATGCACTCGTCTCAGAGTCTCAAGAGTGGTCAGAGGCAGCCTCTACTGCACTGTTTCTATACATGAGGTAAGCCTCCAGACTGGCATTTACACTTTGTGTCCTCAATTCACTTCATCAGTCCTCTCTGGTCTTCATTTTCCTTACTTGTTGCTTAAAAGAACCCCAGAGTGATGTAATGATGACTAGGAGCAGTGTTCCCTTCTAAGAGCCATCTGTGATGCAAGTTCCATCACTAGAGAAGATATGGGAGAGGGATCCAAAGTCAGTTTCTCTGCCTAGGAGACCTGCATAAGCCAATAAGGTGATCAAAGACCCAATACTGGAAGTACAGAAGGGTAACCTTCCTCATGACCCAACCATTCCTCATCCTTACTGGAATCAAACAGCTCCATGACCACTTGGTACCCACCAGCCTGAATAGGTCTCCAAGTCTCTGATCCCATGGGTTCATATTCGGGGACATCTGCCATGTACTGACTGAGCTCATAGCTGCTCGAGCTGAGGCCAGACTCCTGATGTTGGAGAAGGTTGGACCTGCCAGTCAGTGATGGCTGAGGGGAAAAGAAAAGCAATGAAATTCTCTAGGAAGGAGTGCCGGAGAGCTTGTCCTTCCACTTCTCACGTTTCTTCCTTCAAAGAAACAAAACTCAAACTTTCCACTAAACACAGTGAACGTGAATTCATTGGAAGAAGATAGTATTATCCCACTGAGTATGGCCTAGCGGGGTTAAGCAACTTAGAATTCAGACTTAGTTTCCGTCACTATGTTTCTAGGACCTTAAACAGGTGACTTTGGCTTTCCCAGCTCAATACCTTCATCAGCAATATAAATTTAGGATAGCTGTCATATATAGGTTACTAACTAATATGCCAGCCATTCATGTCTGGATAATGTACATTCCCTGCAGACAAGTCTACAAGAAATTTGTGCTCCAGGAGAGATGAATAAAATGGTGTATTCAAAGGCTCCTTGTACACTGTAAAGTGCTGTTCACACATTGTGGTTTTAGCATCTGTCACCTATTCCCATCCTAGTGAGAACTAGGTACAGAAAAATTATCTATGCACACACACACAAAAAATCACACAGATCTAATCAGGGAGAAGCAAACTAACCAGAGCCTGTCAAAAAATAAGAACTCATCTGTACAATAGTTTTGCTACTTGTCTATAAATCTAAAATTACTGTAATGAAATATTTATCTCAATATTACTAAGAGCTCTATTTTGTGACCTAGATGGCGCATGGATTAGGATCTTAGAGAAAAGATGTTAAAGAGTCAGGAAAGATTTTGAGGTTGCTTTTCAATCTTAAATTAAAAGGTCCTAACAATCCTTCACTTTCTAAACCTCTGTTACCCTGGGGTGCCAAACACCTAACTCGCAGAGGTGGTTTCATCTTTTTCCAAGCATTTCACGATGAATTAAGTCCTGCCCACTTGACAAAACAGGACTAGGTCAGATCAGGTCCTTGGACTGGTAAGAGTGAAATGGGAAGGCAGAGGAAAGTGGGGGTGAGTGGGGACTCTGCTGGCTGCTGCAGACCAGCAAGGAGGCTTAATACACGGTCACAGGCCTCCAGGCCCTGTCACTTCAGGTTACCTTTTGTTTCTGGGCCTCACTCTCTGGAAAGAACTCCCCAGGCTGTTGCTGTCCAGAGACAGAAGCGAGGCTGTCTTCATAGGGATTCTTGCTGGTAAGCCTGCAGCAACAGGACAGCGGTGTTGAGACAGGTCCTGGGCAAGCCAGCAAGGCTGGAATATGCTCTGCTGGAGGCTGCCTGGTGCTCGGAATGGGCGGGTGTCAGGCCAGTTTCAGTGCTACAGCGAAAAGCATTTCCTTTCTTTCCCCACTGCAGTGTATTAGAAAGATGGAATGTTTGGGTTCCACACAGTTATTAGAAGTGATCCAGACTTTACAGAGAGTGGCTGGTCGCCACAGCCTACCCTCCTGGAAAAGCTTAAGTCATAGCCCTCGTATCAGTGGATTCCAAGGCTAAGGGTACCAGGGTAAATGCTTCAGTAAAGTCTCTTCCCTGCTGGGCCATATGCCAGGAGAATGTTTCATGCTTAGGAACAGAGAGAGGAAACAGAAGCACTACAGCCTCAGAAAGGCCCCAACCATAACAATTATTGCAAGACGACATTGTTTCTCAGGCTGATATAGGATTTGGCCTTTAGATTTGGATGTAGACTAGTGCTGAATGGGCAACCTCTCTTGGAGACAACAATCGCTTTCCCGGGATTAGTGCCTATGGTTGCCCTGGGCCACCTTGGCTTATTATCCTCATGTCCCTGTGGCTGGAACAAAAGCAGACTGTCTTCCATAGGTGAGGGACCACCACCAGGTGCCCTAAGGTTGTCCTAACTGAATCTAACTAAATCTTGTCAGCATGGCTTGTCCTTTCACTTACTGGAATGGAGTCTCACTATTTGTCCCATAGGGACTGTTGCGCTTTTCACGATGACGCTCGTTGAAATACTTTTGATCACCAGAATCTTCATTCCAGATGTAAGGACTCCCTTGCCTTGCCACTGCACCCTCAGAGAAAGCAAAGCAAAGACAGGTCACTTGCTGTTTCCGTTTAGAAAGATACTAGAGAGACATGAAACTGAGGTGTTGCATTACAGCAAGTAAAAAACATCTATCAAACTGAGTCAACTGATAAGTGAAAGCTAATAATGAAAGCCCCCAAGATGCTCCGAACCAGTTTGCATGGCTTCATGTATTTACACACAATATAATACCCTGTTACGTGGGGGTATAGGGTATGAAACTCCCATTGGGACGCATCTGCTATCCCCAGGAGAAAGTGATTATTGCAGTAGTATTATAGCTCAGCATACCAGATGGGCTTAAGAGCTAATTTTACTGTTACTTAATCAGTAAATATAACCTTTGCTACAAGAAGAAAGTAGAGAAAAATGTGGATGAAGTATACACTATCCAGAGAATTAGAAACAAGGGTAGTTTCGGTATTATTAAAGGGCGGGGTCTCCAAACACGGCTCCAGTGGTCCCTGGCTGTGGCGGTAGACCACCCATGTATCTCCAGTCCCCAAAGGCACTGGAGATTACTTCATACCTCTTTCTTCTTGCAGTAGCTGTGGATGCCTATGGTAGTAATAATTTCCATAAACATACTCTTCCCTCGGTGTTGGAGTGTGGTACCTCTGATAGGGGTCCTCATAGCCCGACCTGAGAGATCACAAAGACAGCCAGTCATCCACCAATGGCAGTAAAGGGAGACACCAAAGAAAACTGATGAACCAGACAACTTCAGAAGGCAGAATGACTACCCAGTCCAGAATCCATGGATGAACCAGACAACTTCAGAAGGCAGAATGGCCCCCAGTCCAGAATCCGTGGATGAACCAGACAACTTCAGAAGGCAGAATGACTGCCCAGTCCAGAATCCATGGATGAACCAGACAACTTCAGAAGACAGAATGACCCCCAGTCCAGAATCTGCCTGATTCACATTAAGTCAGAAAATCCAGAATCAGGACAGGGGACGGCCTTTGCTTCATAAGAAAGTTGGCATTTTTATAATAAAAATTCTTTTTACTTTAAAATGTTCTTGTTAAAAAGGAGTTTATTCACAATTCTTCTTTATTTTATAATAGTATTTTTACTTGCCATATATACACATCCAAAATCCTGGAAGCCCCAGCCCTGGTACTGAGAAAAGCATCTTCCTAAGGTGATTGTATAAGAACACAATGTGCCACTGGAATTCCCATGCATATTACAGACAGAAACAAGACTATCCTCAGCACGATTGATTTTATTGTCTCTGTCCTTGACATACTCAATTTCTCTTGAGAACTCAACAACCCAGAGGGATTGGGGAAAAGAACATTATGCTGTTAGCGTTTGTCAATTAATAATAACCACAGGGGCAAAATTCTTTACCATAAGTTCCATAACTTCAAACTTCAACTGTAGAATACATAGATATAGTCCCAGCTAGAGGAGGCAGAGGAAAGTATGGTGGATTCCAATATTCTGGGCATGCTATGGGCTTGGGAGATCAGGAACTCCACATTCTCTAACACAGAATTATTTCTGTGGTCACTGTCTCCTCACTTACAGCCTGAAAAAAAATCTGCATTTGCCTTCTCTGAAGTGAGTTTTTCTTAAGGTTCTCAAGCATTAAATACTGATCTTTGCATTGCTGTCACCCTCCATGGGTGACCCTGGGGCTCTTGGCTCTTGGTATAGGACTCAGATCAAAGACAATGTGAAACCTTTCATAGTGTCCTAGGAAATCTTTTTCACCGCCTACGAATGCTTGCTGCCTTCAACAACCCCAAAGCAGGAAGGTCCCATTTACTCTCTTCTATTCTACCTTCTATTCCTCCCTCAACCCCAGTCACACCGCAACGACAGCTTTATAAAGTTCTTCTTGAGATAATGAAGACAGAAACACTGTCACCAGTCACCAAATACCAAGTAGGCCAAGACAGATTTTAGCTAAGACAATAGAGAAGAGTGGGTGCCCTCGTGTTTGTCAAACTCGACACAAATATAGAACTATCTGGAAGGGGGGGGCTTTTAATTCAGAAAATGCCTCCAAAAGATTGGTCTGTAGGCAAGTCTGTAGGACATTTTCTTGACTAATGTTTGATATGGGATGGCCCAACCCACTGGGGACAGTGACACACACACAGGTGGGTCTGGGTTGTATAAGAAAGAAAATTGTGCATGAGCATTTCAGGGTTAACAAATGAGTAAGCAGCATTCCTCCATGGTCTCTGCTTCAGTTTCTGCCCACAGGCTCCTGATTTCCTTCAGTGAGGGACTGTGAAGTGAAAGTAAGATGAAATAAACCCTTTTCTCCCCCAGCTGGCTTTTGTCAAGGTGTTTTATCCCAGCAATAGAAATCTTAACTAAAGCAGATAGAAAAGAGGAGGAGGAGGGAGAGAAAGGAGGAGGGAGGAGAGGGAAGAGGAGAAGAAGAGGAGTTGGACAAGAAAGGAAGAGAGGTATAAGAGGCTAGGGAGAGCAGTGCCCGATGGTGAGTGCACTTGGGAGGCTTGAATGAGGCAGGAGGATCCTAAGTTGGAGGACAACCAGTTCTACGTAACAAACCCCAGGAAATGAGGACAGGGTAGGGAGGAAGAAGGAAGTGAACAGGAAACCAAAATGATTAATAGTCTATTCATAGGTACGCGGGAGAGATAGGTCCACTGTAGCCCTAGAAGTCATACCTTGAGTATAACTGAGTAGGATAAGGTCCTCCCAAGTAGTCCACTCCAGACACAGGTTGAGACCATTCCCCAGGCCTGGGTACATAGTGGGCCTCCTGGTGGTCAGCCCTGAGGTCCTGCGCCCTTGGGTCCTGCGTCCTGGGGTCCTGCTGTGGCTTTGAGTTCCTGTGGGCTTCTTGCCATTGGTGGTATTTATCTCCACTGTACTGAGGGTGAGGACGGTGTCTATAATGTCCACTCTGAAGCCCACGGTTTGTGTCCATCGATGGTACCATGGGCCTCCCTTGTGGCTGAGATGGCCTCTGGGGAACCCAAGGCTCCATCTCTGACCCTTTGATCTTTTTCTTAGGTCTTGAGGATGTTACGTAGCTATTTTAAGTTCCTGCACACGAAAAGAAGACAGATCATTCTGGAGAGCTGGGGACATGCACAGCTCGGTCAGTAAAATGTCTGCCTTTCAAGCACCAATGTGTAAAGCTGATTCTGAAAAGTTACATAAAAAGCCAGACAGACGTGGTAGTGCACACTTGTAATCCCAGTACTGGGCAGGTAGAAACAGCAAGATCCCTGGGGCTCACTGGACAGTCAACGGAGCCTAGTCAATGAACCCTGGGTCCCAAGGAAAAGGCCTTGTCTTGAAAAACAAAGCATACGACTCCTGAGGAACAACACTTCAGATGAACCTCTGGCCTACACACACACACACACACACACACACACAGCATTTTAAGCCTTTATCCAAACATGGCAGTTTATTGGATTCAGTGAAAAGAGCAACTATGATTCTCAAAATTGTCTAAAACAAACCATATGAGCACCAACATAGAGGAATTTAAAAAAAAAAAAACCTTCTCAGACAGATACATTAAATAAATAAGAGGCTAGACAATTAGTTTGATGCTGACTCAAAAATTCAGAAAGTACATATGGAACAACAGATGTAGGTGGCATGGGAGGCAGATAACCACACTTAATGCAGCTACAAATGCTATCAAGGAATTCCAATTAATGTTTCCTCATTTATCCCACCAGCAAATATTTATACAACACTTAAAACGGATTGCCTAGGCAGCTTCTCTAGTGGAGTCTGTAAGGTCCTGAATAATTAACAGAGTTAACGTCACTCTAAAACCTACACCCAGTCTACACTGAGCAGAAAATCATCAATGGCCTGCTCCTAGAGCACCAATCAGCCCACTCATCTTGGCTTGTTTGTTTGCTTGGTTCGGTTTTTTGAGTCAGGAACTTATTCTTTTCACCCAAACTGGCCTTGGATCTTACAGCAATGACCCTGCCTCACTTTCTCTAGTGCAAGGATTCAGGCATGAGCCACCATGGTTTGCTTTTGAAAAACACAAACAATCCTAGCAAATACGTTAAAACACCAATAAAAAATGACCTGGGTTTTAAAAAAAAAAAAAAAAAAACGGATTGCTGAGGTATCCGAAATAGAGCAAGACTTGTGAGGAACTGGTCGGAGTTCAAATCCTTTCTATAGCTCTTACCGGTTGGATAATTTTTTTTAAGCTTCAATTCCCTTACCCAGGGAGATGCTAGATACTACAGGCTAGTGCTGCGGGGTCAGTGTCAAAGCTAAACACGACATATGGAAAGTGCCTAGAACTACCTAGTACATGGTAATTGTTCACTCCATCACAGTAAGTGTCTTCAGAAACCAAGGCTAGAGTAGTATGAGTGACTGAAGAATTTGTAGGTCTAGGGAGACATGTCATTGACCTGTTTGCTGCATAAACACAAGAACCTGAATTTGGATCCTTCGCACACACATGGAAAGCCAAACTCGGTGCTCCTGTGAGACAGTAAGCTTCAGATTCAGTAAAACACCTTCTTTCAAAAAATAATATGGAATGCAATAGAAGAAGACACTCAATATTGACCTCTATCTAGTCTACACGCATGTGTACACACACACATACACACACACACACACACACACACACACACACCAACTTAAACTGATCCCACAAAAGACTTACCCTTTCACTGGGAAAGCCAACAGACACAAGTTTGGGGCTTCTGATACTGGAAAATGGAGAGCTAGGTCTCCCAGCTCTTTCTGACTGAAGCATTTAGACCTAGAAGTTCCTCTCACATCAGACTAGCTTTCCCACTCATTACTCAGATAAGAACCAACTTCAGGGACCAGTGCCCTTTCCCAATCCCTCTGCTTGCACAGCAGAGGGACGTGTAACAGAGGGAAAACCAGGCCCTGCTCCTGTTCAGAGAGCCTACTGGGCCACCAGCATACACAGGCAAGGACAGCCCCCATTCCCTTCCCCTTGGGAATGTTGATGGCAGGCAGCATGATTCTGATCAAACCTGTTAGTTGCCCTTAGTCTGAAAGCTTCCACACTCAGCTAAAAACTCTTATCAGAGAAAAAGGTCAGAGGGTCATGTGGTGAAATCAAGATGACCCCATTTGAATGCCACAATGGAACCTAGGTTCAGAGCTGTGAGAAGGCCAGAGAGGGGCCTTCTGCTTCCAGGTCACTCATAACACAGAACCTCGGGCCTTCCTCTCTTGCTTCCTCGAAAAACACAGTCATAACAAAAACTTTGCCAGCAAATTCCAGGAAGGGCCTAATACCCCTAGTACTATACAAGATCCTTTGCTAAAAACCCACAAAACACAATGGCACTTGGACACAAGGAAGAACTTGGAAAGTAATCAGTTCACTTGCCCCCAGACTTTGCGCTAAGCATCCTGGCCCCAACTACAAGGGCACAATCCCGATCTTTTCTTTGATAGCCCTTCATTCTGTCACCAAGGGCCCCCAAACTCCATTAGTTAGGACCTCAGGGTTATAATTAGTGATAGTTATTTTCGAGCCTCTACGAGTCTTAAAATGAAGGAATTCTATCTATAATAACAATCACAGCTTTGTTCCCACAGAAGTGAGCCCTTGACTCAACAAAGACAGTTGCACCTTTTTGATTCTGACAGCCCAGCAAGCCAACTCCAGAGAAAGAAGGGTGTCAGTGCCCCCCACGCACCTGCTCTGCCGGCTTCCTACCTTCCTTCCCCGTGGCTCCAGGGACCTTCTGGGGAGTGCCTTCTCCCCTCTTAGAGACTAACAAAGTCCAGATGCCACATCTACCAAGACTCACCTGGCCTTCAAACCTACAGCGGATTAGTTACCTCTGCGACTGCCGGGCCTCCATGGAGGGAGCTGATTCATTAGGACAAAGTACAGTGTCGCCACCGCAGGCTGGGACAGTCCTGACTTGGCATATTTGCTCAGAACCCGGTAGGGATTGGTGCGTCTGTTTGCCTGGTTGGGGACTGAGCCAGCTGCACTCTGTGAGAATACATCCAACTCCCCACAACAAATAGGGAAGAGGGACACTAGGAAAAGGAAGCCCAGAATGGCCTGAGGCAGCCTGGTCTGTGGGGCAGAGCACCACCTTTGGGGTGTGAGTGTGTGGCTCTGCCAGTGGCTGGCTCTCTCGCTCAGCCTCTCCCAGTCTCGGTTCCTTTTTTTAATATGACAAGGTTCACCAAGAGGAGCAGGTATAGGGAAGTGCACGCGCTACAAGCAAGTCCACACTAAGAGCGAGCCTTTCCAGGGAATAGGAGCTGGCTGCTCACACTGGGACAGGCGGGGAGCAGAAACCTGGAGGCCCTGGTCTGGGTTGCCCTCACCCACATGTTTCTCCAGTGAGTTTGTGCGGTCAACTCTGTTCCAACTGAAGGGCAGATTTAAGTCCCAGTGCTGAACTGAAGGCACTGAGAAGTTTGCACTCACAAGAAAGGAATTTCTCACATTTGAAAAATGTATTTCTTCATGCTGCTAAGGTGAGCATCAAGCACGTCATATCTCCTTTGGAATGTACGTTTTAAATTTTAGTTCTTGCTATAGGTAGGCCTGGTTTTGATTCTTTCAACAAACTTTTGTTTTATTATGTTACATATCAAACCAAGCACTCACACATGCTAAGAGAGAGCCCTACCAACGAGCTATATCCTCAGCCCTGTTTTTGAGGAGGAAGTATCATTAAGTTGCCCAAGTTAGCCTTGAACTCACTCCATAAACAAGGTAGACCCTGAAGATGCTATTCCCCAACTCACCTTCCTGAGGAACTGCGATTTGAGGCCTTCACCACCAACCAAGTCAAAAAGATTCTTATTTGCCAGCATTTGCCACATATACATATAAAAAGGTACTGTCCTTGCTTTCAAGCCACTTAGAACAAAATAGCTTTTCTTGTAGTTCCTGTTCCAGGGAAAAACACCATTATCTGGTCTTGTGGTCAGACAGGTAGTGTATCTAAGCCATGAGACTTTCTTTCCACCACTAACCTGAATCCTAGCACCTAACAAGAGAGCGTAAAACCCTCAGAGTGTAGACAGTGGTTTCTTACCATGCGAGGCCATGAGGTCTGGCTCGCCAGTGGCCGCATCGTTGCTTTTGATCCCTCTCGGAAGAGGCACTGGAGAAGGACACACACACACATTGACAGCAGGAACCAGAACGCTGTTAATTATCAAACAGGCTCTATATCACATTCTGCTTTTATATACGGCAATAGCAGTCATAAAACTCTGACACAATTCTTTCAGCTTGTGAAATGACATTAGACTCACCCTACAGAAAAACCTACATTCCTGGGGTGCTGACACTAAAAAGAATCTCAGAAATCATTTAAGCAACTTCAATTTAAAAAAAAAAAAAAAAAAAAACAATAAAACTAAAAACTACAGAAGATTTACCCAAGATTTTACAAAGCTAAACAACCAGTGAGAAGTGTGTTGGTATGCTGCAGCTAGCTGCCTTACACAGCGCTTCCCAGAGCTGATTATGAAATATTCAAGAGTTATGTGACCTGCTCATTAAAACAGAGGTAATTCAAAACTCCCTATGCTGTGGCCATTTACACCACAGACACTGGTGAATGCTATTCGAAAAGATGGCTTGTTTGTTTTTCAGTGAACCCGTGTACCAGCATACTGAGTTCGAGCCTGGACTCTTAGTTCTGAACTCCCTGTTCCTTCAGTTATAGAGGTGTCGTTCTCTTGCGAGCCTTAGCTGCACACTTCTAGTTTAAACATCTAGCCCAGTTGCTCTAAATGCTCCTTTTGTGGCATCCCAAAGCATCTCCAATTATCTCAAGAGTTATTATGAAACTCTTCAAACACTCACCAACCAAAATTAATTTTAATTAGCTTTAATTATTCTGTATAGACATATGGCATACAACAGTGAAATGGGTCACAGTAGGAAATAGATTGTGGTGGGAATCTCACCACTCCAAAGCATGTGGGATTTCTCAGCCCCTGATTTTTCCAGCCCCAAATAGTTACAGTTACCAAGTCTTTCTACCTGGCAGCTATATTCTTCCTGGTTTCCAGACAAAATTTAT